AATTGACTTTTGTGACAAAAATGACTTTTGTGACACAAAATTGATTTTTGTTAAATGTTCACTTCTGTTTAACAAAATTCAATTTTGTCTAAACAAAAATAAACACAAAATTGAATTTTTGTGACAAAATCTCAGTTTTGTATGCAAATTAGTTCACAGAATCCAAACTAAACTAATTTGCATACAAAATTGACTTTTGTCGCCCAATTTTCAAATTAAATAACAAAAGTAAAGTCTGTGATACAAAAATGAATTTTGTCATGACAAAAGTAACTTTTGTCCACTGAAAGATAATTTTGAATGACAAAATTTAAATTTGTAGGATGCTACAAATTTTGTTAAACTGAACTCATTTTTGTTGAACAAAACTCACTTTTGTCCGTACAAAATTGAATTTTGAGTACAAAACCACAAGAGTCCTGTTCGGCGCCCCGTAACTTATGCCTAGAAATTGACAATGTCAGGTCGGTGTCTGCTTACAAAGATGCTTATTAACCTAAATACGAAAACAACACGTTATAAATTTCATGAGTCCGAAGCGCTTTTCTGGATTAACCTTCATTATGAACGCTCAAAGCCGAATATTTGAAAGCCAAGGATGAATAAGAACCGAAACAGTTGAAGAGCTATAGAGCTATATATAACCAAAGGCTTAAATGAGAAAAGTTGAAGTCTAATCTTCAAAACTTTTACGAACGCCATAATTCTTTGGTTGAAAGTTATGTCATATTTTGATAAAGATGTTTGCATATATGTCCCATTTAAAGTAGCCTTATTTGCCTTTCCTATGATGTTAACGAATGCTATTTGTCACTGGATTTTTATTTGTCATGAGAAACACTTTGGAAGCGACTAGTTGAGCAGGAAATTCTTACCCTTATCCTTTTATGGACTCATTTTTAATGTACGCTTTTATGTGCCATTTTTTATTCCAAAGATCGACATAAAAAGAGAGGTTGAGTACTCAAATACTAGATTCACCCCGTTAAATTTTAACTGCCTAATCCATGTCAGCAACCAATGGTTGTATTTTGTTATATATTTGTTTCGTGCTTTAAATGTTTAAGTACTATTGGGTATGAACCGCTTGTGAAGTACTATTCCCAAAATGTACTATACACCCAGTAGATTTCATTGTGCTAAAACTCCTTCAGAAAAGGTTAACTGTAAACGGCTTTAGTTGTTCCCTTTTACAAATGTAGTTGTTGTGGCTTAAATGAGAAAAGTTGAAGTCTAATCTTCAAAACTTTTACGAACGCCATAATTCTTTGGTTGAAAGTTATGTCATATTTTGATAAAGATGTTTGCATATATGTCCCATTTAAAGTAGCCTTATTTGCCTTTCCTATGATGTTAACGAATGCTATTTGTCACTGGATTTTTATTTGTCAAGAGAAACACTTTGGAAGCGACTAGTTGAGCAGGAAATTCTTACCCTTATCCTTTTATGGACTCATTTTTAATGTACGCTTTTATGTGCCATTTCTTATTCCAAAGATCGACATAAAAAGAGAGGTTGAGTACTCAAATACTAGATTCACCCCGTTAAATTTTAACTGCCTAATCCATGTCAGCAACCAATGGTTGTATTTTGTTATATATTTGTTTCGTGCTTTAAATGTTTAAGTACTATTGGGTATGAACCGCTTGTGAAGTACTATTCCCAAAATGTACTATACACCCAGTAGATTTCATTGTGCTAAAACTCCTTCAGAAAAGGTTAACTGTAAACGGCTTTAGTTGTTCCCTTTTACAAATGTAGTTGTTTTGGGCTCTCACATGTTTTATATTTTTGTATTTCCAAAATTTTAGTCTCGCGCGTACCAGACGATGGTTCCAAAACACTCGTTGTGCGAGTGGAAACCATATGCTTTAAAAGAATTTGGTGTTTGTAGCAGATTTAATGTAGTCTATAGCAATTTGTTCCCCAACTTTTTTAAATCTAAGCGATAGTTATCGTTTGAGACAGGAGCATTATTAATAACCTTGTATTGACGTTGGTTATAAAAAATGAAAACAACACGTTATAAATTCAATGCGTCTGAATTTAGCTCTTTTCTGCAACTACTTTCATCAGGAATGATCAGAGCCGAATATTATAAATGTTCATTCAATATGAAAAACAAGAGGTGGTTTTCATGGAGCCTGTCATCGCCAATCAAGGATGACATCTTTAAAATTCTTATTATTACATGATATAAGCAAATCATCCCTAAAACGGATAAATCAGCAATACTGATGACGTCGCTCTTTTGATATAAATCATGAGTTATTATTGCTTGTCGGCATGGTCCAATAAGGGGAAAAGCCTTATTGGACAGGGCCGAAAAGCAATAGAGAATTTTCCACTTCCGGTCTCAAGTTTCACAAAATTTTGGACGTATTTAAAAGAAATGACACATTTAAAGAACAAGAACATGTAATTATGATTCGTTATTTGTTACGATTTTAAGCAGAAACATTCCACAACCTTTCCGAGTAGAATTTTCATTTTACCATCATTGATTCGTTTTCGTCGTTCAAAAACAGAAGAACGCAGACGTTACCAATAAGAATGGTATAATGTCTAAATTGATCAAATGAATTGAATTAGGCTCAGCATAGATTAAGTACCTGGACTGGAAATCCGAAATATCATCAATATTGACAAACAATTCGTCGTGACTGGGAAAAGGCAAGTTCAAATGTGATTTACAATGTTTATAACTGCAAGTTTCTTAGTTTAATCGAAGAATTAGAATCATTTAATAAATTATGAACTGTCTGTTTCTGTATTGGCCCTGACTGTTATAGATTCTGTATAGTTGTATTGGCCCTCGACTTTTTGAGTCACGGGCCCTATACAACTTACCTCGAATCAGTTAATAATACTACAATAATACAATATCAAGACTCTGATGTCAATTGTGCTCAATCCTTCGATGAAAAGGATTAATACGTTCTCAAATATCTTAATAATTTAAATGTTTCCTGCAATTATTTTTTCTTCAAATTTGTACTGTTTCATTCCTTTTTTCTGCATCGATACTGCTTCATATTTTCCTGTATTTAAATTTTTCAATATTATTTAAAGACAGAAAAAAAGTTTATTATATCAGTATATATAAACTAACTGACATTGATGTGCTGATGTAAAATCTATTTTGGAAAGAAAAGCTGCTTTGATATAACATGCGTGCTGTTTATGAGATACGCACTGTTCTCTGTTACTTTGTTTATAAGAATAAAGTATCCATTCATTTATCGACTAACATAAGTAAGAAGTCAAGTTATCTTTTTAAACATGACTTATTTCGAGTTACATGATAAATAACCAGGAAGTATTTTTATTATATTAAGTTCTTTTTTCTAAATATTCATCATTCGTTTCAATTATATATAGCATTGAGCACATATCTCATATGACCATCTTTCTTTAATGCAAGTACAAATCAGCGTCGTTGATGATTATTAGCCAAGGATTATGAAAATGATAACATAGAAATAAATTGACGCTTTGGTCCTATAATTCCTACACTGTATTGATATTGCTTGGTAAACTAAGTATTATCTGACAATTATATAGTACGCTTTCGTCTAGTCACGTGATCTTACTTTGAGTGGAAGAAGCACCAGCAGAGGTAATTTTGTGGATGTGAAATAAAAAGGAAAAAGTTTGATTTTGTCTCGTTTTCCATACAATCACAAACGCACAATTCAAATAGAAAACAAGCTTATAACAGGTGTACATGTTATATATAATGCTTGGTTATTGAAGAGTATTTGAGCTGATGTAAATCAAATAACAACATATTCACTATTTGATAAATCAACTTTGGAAAGAGACTTCTTATGCTTGCTATTACTTCTTCAAATCTCATTATTAATAGATATCTTTCATTGGTTCTTATCTGAAATTTCGAAGTGTCATTATAGTTAATGGAATATATATCAACTATATCACATTAATTTCAGTCGAATAATTTGAAGTTGGAGCCTTTTGTGAGCATATTATATCTTATTTTCTTATCAATTTATCTTATCGTTTTACTTTCGTTTGAGTTATTATTATCTCTTTTCGATTAGAAAGAAAAGAAAAGCGGAAAAATGCAATTAAGCAATTTATTTCTTTTTCTAGAAGTACAAATTAGTATCTTTTATCTGAAATAGTATTGGTCCAGATGGATTATGGTTTTATCTTCCTGATACAAAAAAACACTGAAATATTGAACTTGTTACGAAGGATTAAAATGTAAATTATAGCAAAGTAAAATTTTTGACGCTACTTCCAAATAAAATTCTCCCAGATTCAAACCATTCAAATAAATCATATTTAACTTCCCTTCAAGTAGCCACATTTAATACACAACATCAGTTGGGTAGTCCTCCTTTTTATAAGTCAATTTTAACTACTTCGGGAAAGTATCAGGTCAAATCGAAGATTTTTGAAAATAATCTCTTATGTTTAGAATTCCGGCATGTGTAGAGTTTCCATAATAGTTTCAATGATTTACTGGTTTTTTTTCTAACATATGCATACGATATGGCAAGAGGTATTGTGAGCTGAAACAAAAAACACATTTTTTCCTATTAAACAAACAAGATTACAACAACAAAATACAACGAACTTTTTATATTCAATTATAGAATGGGCATCTGGTGCAAAAAAAATGGTACCGTTAATGTTATTTCCAGAAGAGACCAAATGATGTAGAAGTAAGAAACTTTAAGATCACCGTACGGCCTTCAACAATAAGCAAAACCTTTACTACATAGCAAGCTATAAAGGCACCGATAAATGTAAAACAATTCAAACGAGAAAACTAACGGCATAATTTAGGTACAAAACAATTAATGAAAAACAAATGATATACAGCAACAAATTACAACTACTGAATTACAGGCTTCTGCCTTGAAAAGGCAAGCCATGTGAATTCATCCGGTAAACACTATCATCCGTAGTCAAACAACAAATATATATCTATCAGTTTTTGGTGATTATTCATTAAGGAACTACTTACCAACAATACTCATAGGATCCGCTATCATCGTAACATACAAATCTGAAATTGCCAAGTTAACCATGAAAACAGATTGCACTTGTCTGAGTTCTTTTGCTTTCGACACAACTATCAAAATAAGAAAATTTCCAAATGTTCCAACAAGTGATGCAATTACTAACAATAAAATACTAAGAATGGCAAATCCTGGAGACTCCTGAATAAATTCAAATCGTCTGAAATATAGACAGTCTTTACTAGTAGCATTCTTTGTACAGAAGCTATCATTCATTGTTAAATATATTCCTGTCCTAGCAATCTGTGTCGGTCTCGGAAAGAGCGTACAGTGCCAATCAGCTGTGTATCATACTTTCAATGCTTCCATTAGATTTATAAATAATTAATGAAGTTAAGAACCTATTGACGACATAAGACTTCCTAATTATTATTATTAATAGGTTATATGAATACTGACAGTCATTTGTAAATCACGGTTTTCTTAAGATATATAGAAATATAATAACATCAATAAGTGGCACCAATACATAATGTCAGCAATACATCATTATTTAGAAGGTCTTTCAATCGATCCTATTTTCTCTTACATCCACCAGCAGAATTGTTCAAGAAAATGTTAAAATGAAGGAGATCTTCAATACAAGATTTTAAAATTTATCTGATATGCAGATATTTTGAATGTTTGCAGTTGTCAAGCTGTAACTACTTGTATAAGTAAACATGAAATTTGCACTTACAAGTATATTATTGAAGTAATAATCTTTCTTTCTTTTCTGTAAGTTTTGGTCCTGCAGTTACTGTTCCAAGTCGAACTGACTGATATCTGCTAAATTGTTTGCAATTGGACTGTCATGGAAGTTGAATGTTTGATGCATCTATATAGAAGAAACCTGTCATTCACTTGAGTAAAACATTTCCTATACATAGTGTTTCGATTGTTCATGTTTTTACACTTTTCATTTCATTAGACTGTGTTTTATTTTGTTATTACCTTTACTGTATTATTATTCTCCCGCTAAATCCTTAAAAATGTTTATTTAGACACTAAACAATTATGCACGTCTTTCAACATAGCTAAATATACAAAAAAACGGTATCAACAGTGAAAAACAATTCTCTGGTAGATAAATAAACTGCAGATTAAATACGAGTGCATCCAAATATTCTCTTTCTTCTTTCAATGATTTCAAATAAGATACAGAAATATTTCATTTATTACGTAAAAAAATAAGGAGACATTTTATGATTGCCAATGACACAACTATCCACCAGAGTCCAAATAGCGTTGATGTAAGCAACTAAATTCTGTGTATACTGATAGATTCGATGCACAAGAGATTATTTTCATTTTTGTTTTGGTTAAATCAATATGTTTTCTATGTATTTTCTGAAACAAATATCCCAAGAGGGTGCGTCAGTATAAAAACAAAGATAGAAATCACAAGCTTACCCAGAGGCTAAAACCAGCTCTTTGTTGTCAACTTCTGAATAAAAACGTCAAATAATAAGATGCCAAGGATGCAATCAGAAATAAATGATAAACAAGAAATGATTGTAACAGGATGCTGTTACGAAGTCTCCCAAACGAAGCTCCCATAATTCGTAATTCCCAGGGTCGCCTGACATTGGGCAACGTCCAGTGAAAATTGGTTTGGTCCAGTAAAGTTATATGCATTAGTGATGCCTGGGGACTAACCTTGTTTATCATTCAAATCATCTTGGCATGACAAACCAGAATATATATGGTTTAGGGGTGGGGATCTCGACCATTTACAAGATACTAGAACATTGGGGGTGGGATGGAACCCCTGGGGACTGGCCCTATACGTCATTCAAATGTTCATTACATGATGAACAGGAATATATATGGTTTAGGGGTGGGGATCTCAACCATTTACAAGATATTAGAACATTGGAGGTGGGGGAACCCCTGGGGACTGACCGTATACGTCATTCAAATGTTCGAGACATGACAAACAGGAATATATATGGTTTAGGGGTGGGGATCTCAACCATTTACAAGATATTAGAACTTTCTCAAATGGCAGGGGGTCGGGATGACCCCTGGGGACTAACCCTGTATATCATTCAAACCATCTTCGCATGACAAACCAGAATATATATGGTTTAGGGGTGGGGATCTTGACCACTTAGAAGATATCAGAACTTTCTTAAATAGCAGGGGTTGGGGGTGACCCCTGGGGACTAACCCTGTATTTCATTTGATGTGCTTTATCATGACAAACCAGAATATATATGGTTTAGGGGTGGGGATCTCGACCATTTACAAGATATTAGAACTTTTTCAAATGGCAGGGGGTCGGGATGACCCCTGGGGACTAACCCTGTATATCATTCAAACCATCTTAGCATGACAAACCAGAATATATATGGTTTAGGGGTGGGGATCTTTACCACTTACAAGGTATTAGAACTTTCTTAAATGGCTGGGGGTGGGGGTGACCCCTGGGGACTAACCCTGTATTTCATTTAATGGGCTTTATCATTTAGAACATTTTCAATTAAAAAGATTGTGTCTATCACAAACGGTTTTCAATTTATAATCATTTGAAAATTTTAAAAATAAATTCCCATAGGGTTCTATAGTAAAACCCTCTTTTCTTTTTGCCCCTCAAAGTACCCCTTTATAAACCCCATTGCACAAACAAAACCCTGATTGCACCACTAGACATGTTAGTCTAACATATTGTGAAACCCTAAGTTAATCTGACAAGCGGTTTTGGAGAACGGGTGCGGACAAGTTCAAATTTAAAAGCGGCGGAAGAAGAAGAAAAAGAAGAAGAAGAAGAAGAATAATAATAATAATAAGAAGAACTGAGCAAAAACAATAAGTCTTCCCAAACTTCGTTTGGGAGACTTAAAAATGAATAAAGTCTAATAAACATCTCATAAAAGAAAACATTATACCTTGGCATATAGATATGGAAAAAGACAAACAATATTAACCGTTAATATTAAGCAATACGAACACGTTTAACACTGGATGGCGATCTCAAATGTTCCTAACTGGTAAGCAGTTCCTGTTCCACAAGTTACACTAGTCTTGTGGCTCAACTATGTTAAATAAGAATTAAAATAGAAACTATGAGGAAAATTACACGAATGAATAAATCAAAAGCAATAAACCACACACACACAAAATGAAGGCGCATACACGAAAGTATGCAAACATCGAATACTAAATTGACTTTTTACTATTTAAAATAGTATATATGTTGTGTACAAGTTATCATTTTGTACAAATTATAATTTGTACAAAAAAAATGTACAACTTATAATTTGTATTTTGACTTTGTACAAATTACAATTTGTACAAGAAGTGCCTGTACAAATTACAATTTGTACAAAATTTGTCGAAAATTCACTTATAACTTGCACAATAATTTATACTATGGATTTTGGTGAGAAAAAAAAATACATACGACAGAATTGTTATTAAATGACCGCACAGTACACCTTATTAACAAAATACAAAAATAGTTTATCATTCTTTTGAGCAGGTGAGTGAATTATGGCATCGGGAATTGCACAACATCTTTTGACTTTCACATTTGACTCTTCTTGAACACTTTGCAATGACTAATTACTTTGGGTCGATTAATTGCTTTAATAAGTTGCCATAGCCATATATCCCAGTTTTTATGTATACTCTTTTAATCTTTTATTCAGTTGAAAAGTGGCAATAGTGTAAACGTGAACGGCATTGTTGATCAGTAGTATTTTGTCCAAGAAGTTTTCAAACTAGCAGAGAATGATATTCCAAAGAACGATAATGTTTACACCAAGGACAAGCATAATGGGCTTTTAGCTAAATTGAAATATGACACTGACATTGAAACACAGATCATTCTTGCCAGGAAGCGTGCGTTGTGTGGCCAATAGATCCAAAACGAAGAACTTACTTATCAGAAATTGTTGTTCGTGCCCCAACTGATCATCGAAATATCTGAGACATAATAGTTGAATCAGGAGATTTCGGGTACCAAATTGTAACAGCTGTATGGATTTTAACAGGATATGTATTTGTCTAAAAGTCAAATTGAAGCTGTGAAAGACACATGTTAATTCACAGCAATGGTTCATGGGCTTCAACTTTCGCTACGCGAAGCAGTTAAAATGCCTTTAAAACTAGTTGTCAAGGTTTTTTTCGTGTAAATGCAAAGGTTGGTACAGCAATTCAAATGTAAAAGTCAAAAGATGTTGTGCAATTCCCGATTCCGTTATTCACTCACCTGATCAAATGAAGAATAAGGAACTACTTTTGTATTTTGTAACTAAGGTGTACTGTGTGGTCATTTAATAGCAATTATATAGTGTGTACCAATGCTTTTTTTCACCAAAGTCCATATCATAAATTATTGTACAAGTTATAAGCGAATTTCTGTCAAATTTTGTACACATTGTAATTTGTACAGGCACTTTTTGTACAAATTACAATTTGTACAAAGTCAAAATACAAATTATAATTTGTACAATTTTGTTATACAAATTATAATTTGTACAAAATGATAACTTGTACACAACATATATATCTTTTGAATATTTTGGGATTGAAAGAATATTTTTATAATTGAAGGAAAAACTGGACCGTTTTCTGTCTCTAGATCATTGAAACATATATTATTGTGCTTTAAATATTTTTTATTGCAGAAATTAAGCCTTGATATGCAAGGAAATTAGCTTTGAAATTTAATACAGTTTTCAAGTCATGAAATTTTTACATTCATCTAACAAGTCATTAATTAGCCAAACCCTTTTTTAGTTCAATCTTTATATAAAACAATGGGCAAATATAGTTGTCCGGAAGGGTAAACACAGTTTTGATGTCGTAATGCCGTGTGAATTTTATGGTGATGAGTATGGTTATTACTTTTTAAAGAGAAAATCCTGGAGAATAATAGGTCTGTTCTATGTTCCTTTGGAATTTCAACCAAAGATGAAGAACTGGATCTTCCATCACTGTATTGGATACCTAAACTGCATAAGTGTCCTTACAAACAACGTTATATTGCTGGGTCTTCCAAGTGCTCCACGAAACCTCTTTCTAAAATATTAACATCAATTTTATCAGCAATCAAAGCCGGGCTTCAAAGTTATAGTGAAACTACCTATTATTATATATCATTTTATTCTGGTTTCGCCTAAGCTGAACAAAGGTATGCAGAAAAACATTATTTTACATTAAATTGCGTTGTACATTTGTTGAAGAAACATAATATGAGTTACATTATAACGGTTCAGGAGCAGCACAGC